TTTATATGAAACATTTCTTATTTTGAGCGAGTAATCATCAGTTTTTCAAAATCCACGGTAATAGGGCAGAGCACGGAGATAGGTACACTTACCCATACAACATAAATAGTAGGTACTAGGAACAGCTTTAGTAATGTGCTTACTTCGATCGTCAGATGGTGGTAGTATGCCGACATAAGATTTTTACAGAACTATAACTATATTGTCTACTGGTATACATTATCTGATTTGGTTTAAAATTATAATAAAATTTACGCTAATGATTTTTAGAAATTTTTTTTTTAATGATTTCTCACTGCATAAGGTAATCTAAAAAAAAAAAAAAAACATGAATAATTTTGCTTGTTAATTTTTAAATGATTAAAACTGTCATACAAGTTTTTCTTGTAGTTGCTTTTTTATTCTGTATTCTGCATTATAAGTTTAAAAAAGGAGATTACCTATTTATTTTAGTAATAAGATTAAACTTCTCATACCACAGGCTATTATTCGTGTACAGGCTATACATATAGAAGCACTGATGATCGAAAGATTTGTTTAATCAGCAATATATCACTTCCTATACATAGTTTCTACAAAATATCTTATGCTTGTCTGGAATCTGCGTTGTAGTTTAAGTTAAATGTTAAAATGAGACTTTTTAAAATTTTTCACAGGACAATGGAAAGAAAATTAGATAAACAGAAATAAAATACAATAATATAATATTGTACACAATATTGGAAACTAATCTAGTTTTATCCATGAGTAACTATTGATGCCAGTAATTGAATTAATCGACATTTCTCATCTAATACGAGTTTGCCTACGCAACTCATTCTTCAGTAAAAACTACTAATTTGTAGAAAAATTTTTATTCGCAGTAAGCTAGGGCACACTTTCACCCACTAATTACTTTCTGCGCAAGAGTGGGAATAAAAACAGCCCTGCTGGATCTGAAATGCGTTTTCCCCCTATGGTGGAAAGTAATTAGCATGCATAAAGTGTACCTACGGACACAAAGTTATACTTTGCACCCTTTATACTAAAAATGTCGTTCTCACGGCAAAAAAATATAAATACCGTGTCCTTCCGCACACAAGTTGTACTTTTTGCCCTAGGTAAGAAATATACTATAAAGTGTGATGTTAAGGTCATGAAGATTGTTGTTTAATGACACCTAAAATTAAAAAATCGTTTTCATACATTCAGTTATTTTAGCTTTAATGTAAATAAGGTCTTTAAAAATAAATTTATTAAAATAAACCTATGAGATTCAATTCAGTTATTTAATAATAGATGTTACTTGCTATTATTTTTTTTGATCCCCAAATACTGCAGTATCATGTAGAAATACGGGTAATATAGAAGAAGAGTTTTTCGTCGAACAAACTCTGTTTTGTAAAACAAATGCAAAATTTATCTGTAAAATGGTCACAAACTTAAGAAAAACATGTTGTAAGAAAACCTGCGAAATTCAATACAGTATTTTGAAGGCCTTGCTAAAATTTCAACAGAAAATTCTTTAAAAATTGCTATAGAAATCTTGTAAGGTATTTCCGATGAGAACTTAAAATGGAACACGACTGATTAATTGATAAATAACGGTGGTGTGAAGAACGTGGAGAATGATTTCGTTTTTCTTAATTCATTCAGTATTATAGTAAACAAAATTTTCAACCACACGATTATTGTTAACATTAAAATAATGAATACCTAATAAAAATGGAATGTAAGCTTTCCTCATTTCATTACTTTTGTGTGATTTCTTAACAAAAAGCTTAGAAAAATGCGTATTGTACTATCGTGCATAACTCTACTAAATGTATTGCATTAATAAATTAGAATGTGGAAGTTAAATTAAAGCGCGTGTAAATTAAATCATAACTAGTTATTTCCGTTCAGTTTTTTCTTTGTATTTATTAACAAAAAATTCGATAATAAGTGCACTACTTACATCGTGCACCTATTATCGAGGTACCTATTATACAGTGCTGTTACCTAACCTTCGTATCTTTTCTGTTGAACTTTTATTCATATAGTTCTGATTAAATAAATCAACAATGTGTATGAATTTCATTGTTTTTAAATTACTTATTCTTATATACAGCCTCAAAATTTACAGATACTAAGTCAACATTGGGATTGAAAATAGAACCAAGCTTTAATAGTAGTAGCCTAATGATGGATTCTCAAGCCATCATGGAGGGCAACGGTACAGCCTGAAAACAGTTTTTTTTTTTTATTTAATAAATGGTAGGTATTGATGATAGATTTTTAATGCACAAAAATTATCATATGAAGTTAGTCAATAAAATAATTAATAATAACTTATATAACAATAAAATAATTAAACATACATGTATACATAAATTAAATTCTAGGGAATTGTCACATCACTCTCAATAATGGAGCCATGTACTGTATTGTCATAATTTTAAAATCATTTGATTAAAAACAACTTCTAATGGTGGTGCTGTCATATTTGTGTATTTATTAAAAATAAAAACAACATTTCTGTTTGATACTTGTGATTGGACGTTGTTTTTATCTGTTTACCAAATGTTATTGGATATGTTATTTAATTAAAATCATTTTGTATCGTTACATGGATTTTTTGCAGTTCTTCTCTCGTTAGTGCTAAATGTCTTCACATATGCGATTTTGAAACAATGCTTTTTTAATTCATTTTACCCACAGATTAAAATGGTGGACAGTTGTTATTATAATATTAATTATTACACCTGTTAAACAATTGCATTGAGTACCATTATAAGCCTATTAGATTATTTACAAATTCTCATTGTCAAAAAATAAATTGAATTGTCTAAGTGTATTCGAAAGATTACTGAAAGAAATTTTTTTTTTTTAATTTTGATTACATATGTTGATCTTTGTGAATTTTTCAGATTTTTCTTTAAACTAGTTTTTTATGCAAAAAGTATCAAAAGCAAAAAATACCTTCTTGTCAATGATTGTTGGCAAATTAAAAAAAAAAAATGTAACATCAATAGGGCAGCTTACTTTTTTTTTTTTAAACTCTAACAGGTGTTATACAAAAATTTTATATTTTAATTCATTGACTATAATCCACCGTTAAGTTTAAGATGCGCTATGTTTATGTGCATTAATGTTTATACTGATGCATTGGGTAAGTTATTTTAAAGTCTTAATCGGTTGTAATTTACATAAATTCTTATAGAAAAACTTACATTAGTAACATATTAAGTCCCAGAAGTTTCCCAAACGATGGCAACCTATTTCTCTGTGTAGAAAGTAGGGCTTCACGAGAGTCGAGACAAGACAATATTTGGACAATTATTGTAGTGTTCCTGAGAAATCTTAAAAACATTAATTATTGTCTTCGTCTTGACACATAAAGTCTTGTATTATCTTGGTCTTGTCTTGAGATATTGTTATTCAATTTTTGAATCATTAGATTTATAGATATTCGTTATAAAGCAAAAGGATGGCGAATAAATTTGATATTTGTGGAGATACTTATACTTTAAACGTATACTGTAGTAATATTAGAATTATTTAGAAATATATTTATAGAATATTTAGATCTTTTACTCATTTTTTTATTAAAAATGTTAATAAATTTTGTATTTTATTTCACATTTTATGTTAAACCTTGATCACATTAATATAAAATAAAGAGTAAATAAGTAAGCTCAAGAATTATTGAACAACCAAGATTCTTGACAAAATTACTCTTGGTATTATCTTGAAATTTTAAGCTGTACTTTGTCTTGATCTTGTCTTAAAATCCAAGATAATATCAAGATTACTCTCGAGATCTCGTGAAGCCTTAGCATAAAGGTATTTTCTCAGAAAACTATAACAATCAATATGAAATTATTTTTGTCAATTCTTTATCTTATAAATTACCTAATAAAATCATATGAAATTTTCAGGTGGAACAAATGCCGTGTAATCAATAAGTATTTATCGATACCAAGAGCCAGCAAAGCAAGCATACCTCAGTAAAGCTATGTGCCAAACCTATATATAACAAAAATTTAACTATACAAGCTTTGTCTGTAGATTATAGAAGTACGATGTACAATAGCCTACTACTCAAATCAAGTCCAAGCATGTTCTCATGTGCATACTTAATTAATCATACAATGTACAAACTTAGTTAATCATACATGTGCATAGTAGACGATTGGCCTGCAATTTGAATGTTTTCCTTTTGCGATTACACTTAAAATATAGCTTACATTTAAAATGTATTTGATAGGTGTGTAAACACATAAATATGATAGATGTAAAAAAAAAAAGTTTAACGACATTAATAACTATTCCAACGTTATTTATTATTAGCATTAGATATTAAGTAATTAAAATGTTAAAGTCATCGTCAGGGTAAAACATAACAAAACCATTCGGTATATGTTACATTAGTGTCATGTATTTAAAGATGTATAGTATTATAAGCATTTTCCGCAATGTAATGATAAATCTTCTCCTTTTTGACACTCAATCCGAGCTAGTAAGGCTTATAAACCAAGCCAGCCCAAGATCAATATCTCGGTAGTTAAGTGAATGTGGGAAGAGCAACTAGACACGCCTTTGATTTGAACCACCTTGCTGCACGCTCATTGGCGAGTAGTTCAAAACAGAAACTGGAAGGCGTGAACTTTATAGGCACCTCCTTTTAGAAGACAGCCTCCGACTCAGCTCATAAATCATTGCCAGTTATTCACATCACGCTAAACAGACTAAACATTTCGGTGAGACATAAGTTATATTTTGTCAAAATTGAACCATTAATTAATATTCTTTTTTAATTAAACCACAAGACATAAATGGTTGAAAATATTACAGTAACGTTCAAAATAATTTAATACTTATAAATTAGATATTTTTCATCTTTTAATAAGTTCAAGTGATCCAGTAGTTCTGATAAATGTTAACGTGAACAAGCATTAACATAAATTCTATTTTGTTTGTCTAGGGAGTGAAAAAAGTTGATTTACTTTTAAAAGAGAAAAGAAGGTGAAATAAAAAGTTTTTACAATATGTGCAGCAATGAAAGTCCACCACCATCCAAAGAATCCCATACAGATAGTATGTCTGTTGAAAATTCAATCGTTGGTCTTTTACCAAGTCTTGAACACTATCGATTACAACTTTATCACTATGCTATGGCAGAGCGCATACGATTAGCCCAACATGTTCATCCTCATAATGTACATCCTGCTGTTAGCCAAACATTGGGTAGTGGCCAATCAAATGAATTACATCTAGGATCCAATTTTACAGTGCCATCATCTATTTATCCACTAGGGACGTACTACCCTCGTAATATGGCCCTTTCAATGGCTCTTTTACACCCTAATCAGCAGCAAATTCCTGAAGAACCAAAACCTCAACATAGTTACATTGGACTTATTGCAATGGCTATTCTTTCATCACCAGAAAAAAAACTTGTACTTTCTGACATATACCAGCATATCCTAGAAAACTACCCTTATTTTAGACGTCGTGGACCTGGTTGGAGAAATTCAATACGGCATAATCTTTCTTTAAATGACTGTTTTGTTAAGTCAGGAAGAAGTGCCAATGGTAAAGGACACTATTGGGCGATTCATCAGGCAAATCTTGATGATTTTCGTCGAGGTGATTTTCGGCGGCGAAAAGCTCAACGTAAGGTTCGTCGACATATGGGCTTAGCTGTGGATGAAGAGCCTGATAGCCCAAGCCCGCCCCCATTACCTACAAGTCCAACGCCCACAAATATATTCAGACCAACGCTTGTCAGTAATTCTGTACCAACTATCTGGAGCTCACAACAATATCAACAACACGCCCACCAACATCAAATGGTTATTTCCCAGACACAGCGTCACGCCTTACTCCAACCCTCAAAAAAGCGCCAATTCGATGTAGCCTCACTTCTAGCTCCTGATGATGAAATAGCACTGAGTAATACTAAATCTCGTAAATTTAGTTGTAGTGAAGATGAACAGGAACCTGACCAAGATGAAGTAGAAGTAGATGTGGTGGCTGAGTCCGAAAAACCTGTATTGAGTCTTGGGACTTTTCCTATCAGTGATCATCATGGGTGGAAGAATTCAATTTATTCAATTTCAGAAAATCATTATTTTTCTCAAATTGATCACTCGCATGTACGAAATTATCATGTTTCTACAAATACAAGCACTAGCTCAAGCCTTTGAATATTAAGTATAAGAAACATCTGCTATATTTTTTTTACTTATTCAATCACGAAAGAGAGACTTCACCTGAATAATATAGGTCCCCTTATGTTGAAAATACATTGCGTTTAGAAATATAAAGCATACATTCTAATATAACTTATCAAAATTAATATCGTGAATGCTAGGAAATTTTACAAAGTATATGGCTGTGGAATTTCTAATGTTGGTATTTTAATATTTACTTATTCTTTAATGTAAATTCAAAACTTTTAAACACAATCGATGAAAGGACATACATATTGATGATCGAGTAATGTAAATACATGATATTTAGAATTTAACGTGTTACGTGAGACTGATAAAACTTTATTGTTAAACATATAAAATTATTACTTAATGTTTATAAATAATTTAGAATTATAAGTTAACAGAAAGTGTAACCTATAAATATTTAAGCTGACCAGTTTTTTTAGTTATTAACTATTTTTTTATTTCGTAGGGTATGATATTTCGAAGACTCATTAAATAAGTGTACAATTTTTTAGTTTCTGAATGCCCAATAATATTGAAAATTACTTAGTATTTCTAAAGAACCTATATAATCATTGATCAAAAGCCATTTTTCTTACTGTCAAATTTAAAATTATATGAAATGCATAAAATAAAAATACAATAAAACAAAATTTTGTAGTTTTCATTTTTACTTTTTCCTAAAAGATAACTTATTACCTTTTTGATTTAATTAATAATGAGCGTATCTGCTCACTTCTTCACTACAATACTAGTTTAAAAATATACAAGGATTAATACAAGTTTAGTGAAAACAAGGGCGTGTGATCTCATTTTGTTTTACTTATAATGCATTGATACTTTTTTTTGTTTTAAACATATTTAATTTTCATACTTGTAACATAAGTTGCAAATTATAATTTTATCCTTTTTCTTTATCAAAAAAATTTTCTAAAGTAATCAATTAGATTTCTTTAATACTTCTGGCCATTACTTGTTATGTTATAAGAATATTTTATTATTTCGACACAAAAATGATTTTATTAATTTGTAGAGCAAAGACACATAAGACCAACCTAACTGTCATCAAGTTAAAAAAATAAAATGTTTCATGACTCTAGCTGAACTAAAGCCTTTTAAGAGATTAGATTATTCCCTTACTAAATTTATTATTCTTTGTCAGCAAAAACGCTAAGATAGCTACTCAAATTATAACAACGCAGGGATGGATTCAGAAGTTTGATACTTGAGAAGGGGGAAAATGACAATAAAAAACTTTCTTTGTGTAAAAAGTCAAAATGTATACATATGTTTAAGTGAATCTATACATTTGTCATTTTTTGATTGTTCGTTTCTTTTACCTACTCTATCACCTCTCCCTTATTTCTTATAAAACATAAATAATAGAAAACTTACTCCACAATAAAGTGTCTTTTACTTAATTTCTGTAATAATATAATGTAACTTAATTAGAAATATATAAGTTAACGTCTATTTTCCGCACTTTATTTAAGCATTTTTGCTGTTAGACCATGTGGAAATGAATTTTTTTTTTTTTTTTAAGGTTACTATTCTCTGCGGATAAGTACTTTCTAAGGCCAGATCTTTTGACATCTAAAAGTAATTTTTTTTTCATCATAACCATAATCTAAAACGATAGCTTGTTTACTATAATAAAAAAAAAATAGCCTTGATGCACTAGATAGCTAACGAAAACACCTAAATTCGAAATTAAAAGAACTACTTAGAAATTTTAAGTGATAACAAGTAAGGAAATTAAAAAACAAATCTCAACAAATTGATCTATAACCTTAAACCTTATTTACAGTTCACCTGCGGATTTAGGCTGTAACAATGAAGAATTATAGTTACTTCACTGAGCCTCACTGTTTAAAAGGGTGTACGCAGGTCCCTGTTAGATTGTAAATAGCTTCACAATCATCAAAGTAAATTGAATTAGTCCTGATGTACTATTTAAGTTTTGTGCTTTATACTTCGTAAAAAGCTATAATGGTAAAAATGTTTGTAATTCTATCACCTTGAAATAAATCTTGTGATTAATATTCTAAAAAAACGTTATTTGAATAATAAATTTTGAAACTTTTATGAACCTTAGCATTTGATATGGAATTTCTGAATTGCTTAACACAACCAGTTTTCATGTTTATGAAGAAATTTACGACCTTTTATAATAACACTATTTTAAGTGTAAGAACAACCCTATGAAAATACCTTTTAACAAAACTAAAAGGTAATGTAAGTTTGATGAGTTGAATCAATATTTTTTAAGGAATTTCTGGAGCCTTTATACACTGGCAATAAATAACTTTAACAAAATCAAAGTAAATAATATTGAATTTTGACTGGTACTTTATGCTAACCTCACATTAAATAAATGAATTCCTTTTTTATGCCATAAGTTAGGTACATTCAAATGTTAGCGCATTATTTTAATCTGTTTAATGTAAGCTTTATGTACAACATCAGTTGAATGTCAATATTACTTAGTTTGATTTTGTTAAGGTAAGAGTACTAGACAGAAATATGCTACTAGGGTCATACCAAAAGTATGATGCACCGAAAAAAAAGGTTGACTGCTTTTATATTTTAATTTCAGAACTTGTCAAGGCTAAAGATTCATGAGAAAGAATATACTATTCATTGCCAGTGTATAATATTAACAAATTCCTAAAAACATTAGTTTAACACACCAAATTTATCAAACTTTTTAGTTTTGTTAAGAGATGTTTTCATAGGGATAAATAAAAGTTTTTAGGAAAATACCAGTTTTTAATTCTTATTTCAAAAAATTTATTCAAATCAAGTATCGCTCATATTACGGAGTAGTGAATATAAATGAAGTCTGAACAACATAGCTACGATGATCTACAATAATCCTAGTAAATTTCTACTAAGTGCTTCTGATATAGAGACGTTTAAGATATTCAAATGCGTGCAGAGTTAATTTGTACAAATAGTTTATAATTGCGTACAATGAAATAAAATTTCTGAAAAAAACACATTTTCAAGATTTTTTTAAAACGATGCTTTCTTTTCTCATTATGTTGAACTATTTTATCGTATAATTTTTAGTATTTTCTTTTTTAAGCTTATTATTTCAGTTGAATTACTCTTATCTAAAAAATTTTTTAGATAAATTACTTTGTAATCAAACCCAGCAAAAAACCAATGTCTCATTTATTTGACTAGCTTTAAAATAGCTTGTTTGACCACAATAATTAATTATTATTCATTACGTTTGAAAACCGTAAAAGCAATGTACAAGTTACTTAAACCATTATTTTAATTCCTTATTTTTAATAATAAATGTTTAATAGTAATGTCTAAATCCTAGTATTTTGGAGCATGACTATTTATTTAAGTAAGCATTAATGCATATGATCAATATTTCGCCGTCATGCTGACAGTCTCCTTTTTTTCTTATTTTAGTACTACTTAAAAAATAAATTATAATTGTATGATTATTATTCTCCAAAATCATTGAGTTGAATAAGGTTTAGGTATACAACTTGTTATCAAAGGCACTCCCTGAAATCGTTAAAGCTTTCTACCATATCGATCTGGTTATGTTTATGCTATCATAGTTAGGTTGAACAATTCATTATAAAAATCACTTTTATCAAACAATATGTAAAACACTAAATTTCTTAGTTGCATCTCTGACTCATGGTACATAGTCAGAAAAGTGAAAAGAAGTCTACGTTTTGTCTGTAATCTTATTTTTCTCCTTGAGTTCCAAATTATATTGTGACCAAATGTGGGCTTGACAAATTATTTAACACCTTTTTTTAGGCAATACCTTTTTTCTAATAAAATAGCTATTTTTTAAATAAATTAGGTTACTTAACTAGATAATACAAAAAAAATTTCTGTTAATGTATGAAATTTGAATTTGAATTATCCATTGTTTATTATCTATAATTTGTATTTATCATTAGTATTAAACACATTTTTACTGTTAATTCATGTTTACCAACTACGAAGATCGCAGAAATGATACGAGTAATAATAAGACTTTTATTAAGCAATTGCTAAATTTATGACTAATTATTAACACATTTATTAAGAATCTTAACTCTGATACTGATCACGTTTAAATCGCACGTAATTCAGGGTAAGAAAATTAATTCATTCAAGATACTCAATTTTTTATGCATATTTAAATTTTCTGTTAAGTTAGCATCTCGCATTAGCAATGCCACGTTTCGCCTATTTTTGTTAAATGGCTGTGGGTACATATAGATACGATTTTAATTTTCCACATGTATCACAAATTTTATTATTGAATATTTACGGGACGATTTTACTCTGAGAGAGTCATGTTTTCCCTCCTCCCCTTCTTAGGCATCGTCGTTCTTCAATATTATCTGCATGAAGCGGTAAAAGTATTATACGAGTTGCCTACTTATCTGATACTGCATTGATTAGGTCATGTAAAAAACACCACCTAGTTACCAGGGGGGAAGTGACGGAGTGCAGTCTTAAACCTGAGCCCCTCAGGCAGAAAATAAGCGCTCTACCACAGTTACTGTAATGCTGCGTGCTATCTACTCTGAAATTAGGAAGTATCTATAGCTGATATCACTATGTTGGCAGCTCTGCTTGATTTTAAGAACACGTCTATCCCAATTATGTTCAGAAAAAAATTTTGCTTGCAGCTAACTTAACGGTAAATCGATTCCATTTCTTGAACACTCAGCTATGAAAAAATCTTGTTTCAAGCTTTTTAAGATACACATGCCTTGGTTTGGTTGTTATAACGACTTTCTGATCTATATTTTTCGGTAAAACTGTGGAGTAGGATTAAAGAGATTCAATATTGAAACAAAATACATCAGACATACCGGTAAAAATACTCATTTTCTGATACTTGAAAATTTGAGTACGCAAATCTGTAAGTAGTAGATTGAAGGTAAAAGCACTAGTTACTGGCCACTTAGTAGCTGAGATGCATTGAACAACGTGTTATAATTCCTAACATTTATTTTTACATACAAGTTTGTACATTTGTCGTCAAATAGCACCTTAGTAGTTGTAAATAATTGTGTAAATACTCTAAATTCACAATTAATAAATAACAAGCTGAAAAAATGTACGCATGCAAGATGCACTAGTAACTGGCCTAGAAAAACTGAGGTGCACTAGTGGCCCGAATGAAACGCATCAGTAACTGGCCATCATTTTTAGTGTTTAGTTGGAAGAAATAATTCAACCCGATATCGTGGGTAGGAGAAGGATATATTATTACTTAAGTAATTAAAAAGTATAATAAAAAAATAAAAAATGTATATACTGATCTATAAGTACAATATATAAGGTTATAAAATTTTTG